GGGGGGGGGGGAGCAGGAGGCTGCGAGGGGCCGAGGCAGGGTCAGGGCAGCAGCCTCTCACCCAGAGCTGGGGTGCTGCAGGGCCGGTTATCGCCTGCCAGAGCCTCGGGAAGCGCACGGGAGTTGCGCTATTTACAGCAGAGGAGGAAAAAGAGCGCCCGGAGGCTGTGGGGCATGTGTGCGGCGTGAAACGGTGCTGCCAGGCCCGCCGTGGGAGGGGGCACGGCCTCCAGCCTGCACGTGGGTGGATGACACATGTGCTTGGCTGCTGCCGCTGCTAATTTTCTCTTGCGTTTTTTCCTTCGTAAGCCCTGTCCTGGGCTGTTCCCTGAGGAAAGGCCGAGGTCTCAGCGTAACTGCTGCAAAACGGCAGGAAAAGCTGTTCTCTGCTTCTCGTGGAGCGATCCCTTGCCTCTAGGCTAGGAGCATCGCCTGCTGCTGCTCTGTAATTGGCTTCGTAACTAGAGCAGAGGGTGCCTGGTGGGAAGGGTGAGAACGTACGTACGCTGTGGAGGGAGAGGGGATGAGGAGAGAGGAGTTAAGATTTGGCCTCTGTCTGCTTGGCTGGCTCATGGTGATGCTGGTTGATCTTTTTAGTGCTGAGCACTGGCTCTGCCAGGGAGCCATGGGCTTTCCTCAGCCCGGTACATGCTTTTAGTAGGTGTTGACCTTTCTCTGGGTCCCCTGCCGCAGGGGTTTCTCTGTCGGTGTGCACAGACCGCTCTGAGTTTGGAAAACTCCAGGAGTAAAACACAGTGGGGTTGAGGGGGAAGGACAGCCAGGGCTGAAAAGGTCGTGTCCAGCAGATCAGGAGAGCTGGGAGCTGGGAGAGGCTGCCTTGCTCTAGGAGGAGCTGCTTCCAGCTCTCCTCAGCTGGAAGAGGAGTTACGCTGATACGGGGACCTTTGCGGTGAGGTGCAAGTCAAAAATGAAACGATGCTTTCCTCAGCACGGAGCTGCGGGTGGTAGCCTCTGCCGCGAACAAGGTCTTTCCCAGTCCAGGCTGATGACTCCTAAAATCCTCCAAACAGTTACTTCTTAAAATTAAGTTGCCGTTTCTCTTTCTTCAGGGTTTGTCAAGACTGAGCGGGGGGAAAGATCACAATGAAGAACCAAGGTGGGGAGACCAAAGCAGCCCCGCGGCCTGCGAGCTCTTCCAAAATGAGCAGCAGTCTGGTGCTGGAGGAAGGCGACGCGCTGGAGGCTGCAGCGCCCCGAGAAGGTGGGATGTCCCCAGGGCTGGGGGCGCACCGGGCTCTGCTGGCGGCTCTGACGGCCCGAGCAGCGAGGCGCAGGAAACGCGTGAGGGTGGGCTTTGAGCCTGGAAAGGGCCCGGGGGCTGCTTTCTCACTACGACCATGGGCCGCTGCATCCAGCTCTTTTTACTTGTGTCAGAGCAGCTGTGATTTCTGGGGTAGAAAATGCTGGTTTCTTCCTGTTTCTGTGTGTGTACAGTTCTGAAGTAGTTACCATTTCCTGACCAAAACGTGGAGTTGATTCTCACCTGAAAACGATGGATTTTTTATTGTTGCTTAGACCTTAAGGGTCTGATTCAGAAAATGTCAGACAACTCTCCTTGGGGCAACGTTACGTCGAGTCACCTGCCCTGTTACTGGCACTTCATAAAGATTACTCTCTGGAAGACAAAAAACAGGTTTAGTCGAGTAGATGTTTGGTTAAAATGAATCCTGGTGTGTATTCTGAGGCTTGGTAAATGTGGGATGTCGGAGATGCACAGCGAGTAGATTTAGTTTAATGACCAACTGCTCTAAGTCTGTGATTTGGAGGAACTCTGGATACAAAGCAGCGTGCTAGAGGATGCGTTGCTTGCTCTTTCCCCAAGTGTCCACTGTTGGGGACAAGACACGTTTGATCTGAGACAGTACAGCTGCTCTTACGTGAGGAGAGAGGCTAACTCAGGTTTAAAAATCTATTGTGATGTAAAAAAGCCTGGCTCTGGGGGCGTTAGCAAGCGTTTCTTACGAGGGAAAGCTCACCCACAACCTGCTTGCGTTAAAGGATCGGGGGGGAGAGGGGGGAGTTTTTGCTCTTGACAGATGTCAGGGGCTTGGTCGTGCTCTCGTGATCAAAAGAGAGGCTATTTGGAATGCACCCCCATTGTCAGGGCGCCCGGCTGGGGACGCACCACCACAAAGCGGATTATGTTGCTGGAAGTTGAGGCAGCCTTGGTGTGGTGTGGTGCTCAGGAAACCTTCCCTCTGCCCCGTCTTCAGAGAGACCAGAGAATCGACGGCGTGGGGGAAGTCTCAGGCTTTTGTGTTCCCCTCTCCCACAGCTCCTCTTGCGCAGGAGGACACCAAGTCCTCGGGACCTGCCGTGCGTGACGTCTCCGAGGAGCTAAGCAGGCAGCTTGAGGACATCTTGAACACGTACTGTGTGGATGCCAGCCAGGAGGGCCCCGGCGAGGACGGCGGGCAGAGCGAGGCCCCCGAGCCGGAAGAAGCCGAGAAGTGTCGTAGCGAGTCCCCGCGGAACGGCGACCAGGAGACGGGTGGCCCCGAGATGAACGGGGAGAAGGAAAGCACCAAGGGGAGCGAAGAGTTTCGACCCGGCGAGGAGTGCGGGGAGCGGGATCAGAAGAAGGCTCAGGAAAAGAAGAAAGCCAAGGGCCTAGGTGAGGGGTTCCCCGCTCTGGTTGTGCAGACCTGGATTTTGTGCCGCAGGAATCGCCCTGGGTGCAGCAACCACCTCGGGGGCGGGATGTGCAGGAGCCTTTGGGAACGTGGTTTGTGGTACGTGAGGGAATATACCGAGTTCTGCAAAGGCTCTGGGTGCTGCTGCAGCCTCTGAATCCTGGGGCTTTCTCTCCTGCTGGCCACAGTTCTCTCTAGCCAGCCCAGTGGTGGTGTCCTGCTCTGTAAACCAGGTCTCCCCCCACCTGCTTCAGTTGTTCACCCACGGGACAGGGTGAAATCTGTGGGGCAGAGCCCTGAGGAGGTGCTGGCCCAGGGCTGTGAGACCTGATTTGTCCCTCCTCTCTTTGTCCTTATGAGCCAGAACTCTCTGTAAGGGATTTTATTTCATTTATTTTAATTCTGTGTCTCATTCCAGGCAAAGAAATCACTTTGCTGATGCAGACACTGAACACCCTGAGCACGCCAGAGGAGAAACTAGCAGCGCTGTGCAAGAAATACGCTGAGCTGGTGAGTGCTCGTTTCTTGGTTCCGGGCTGGGGGAGGACACTGCAGCAGAGCTGCTTCAGGAGGCAGAAGGTGGCTGTTGGTGTTTTTTTTGTTTTTTTTTTTCTTGCTGTTGAGATGGACAGTCCAGGAACACCCGTGTAGCTTTGCAGTGTATGTCCTGGGATCTCTGCAGTGCTGGATATCCAGATATTAGAGCGTAGATGTTGCTTGGTCCAGCCAGGTGGTGTTGTTTGCAGAAGTGTGAGCACAGACAGGAGTATTTTTGGCAAATCTGTGTGTGAGTGATTTCAGACCTGTTTTCTCTCTGCTCATCTCACCTGGAAGCTGCATCTCTTGCCCGTTCTGTCCCAGGAGCGTCCGGTGGCCGGGTCTGTTCTGAGCCTGCCCGTCCCGCTCTCTGCAGGCAGGGCTGAGCTGGGAGCTGCCAGGCCCAGCTGAGACCACACCAATTCCTCCACCATTCCACTGCTCGGTCCCTGCATTACCGCTGAGAATTTCCTAGAAAGAAACGTGTGTTTGGCAGAGTCACCACGCCGCTACGTGCGCACATTCACATCCAACACACGCGGAGCCTGATGCCACGTTTAGCCAGAGCTAGTTCTAGGCACGGATCTAGTTCTGTGCGTGGATCTGGTGCAGGGGAGAGGTGTGGGGCTGTCTCTGTGGGGCCCAGGTGCACGTGTGGGGGTTTCCCTGTGCTCGGAGCTCTGCTCCATTTGAGCGACGTGCGTGTGGAGGTGCTGGATGAGTGCACAAGTCTTTCAGATTCCAGCAGGACAGGAATTCAGGAAGGGGGAAAAAAACTGTCCAGGGGGGGCCTGGGCTCAGCATCAGCCCCGCTCTGCTCAGAAGTGGCATCTTTTGGGTTATAAAGCTCTCGTCCTTCTCTCAGAGCACAGAGAGCACTTCTTAGATCCCCGTGTCCCCTCGTCGGGGCACAGCATATTGCCCTGGTCTGTCTTGCTGCCTATGTGCCCTTTGCTGCCCTGTCCTAGCTGGAAGAACACCGCAACTCCCAGAAACAGATGAAGATCTTGCAGAAGAAGCAGACGCAGCTGGTGCAGGAGAAGGACCACCTGCAGAGCGAGCACAGCAAGGCCATCCTGGCCCGCAGCAAACTGGAGAGCCTGTGCCGCGAGCTCCAGAGACACAACCGCACCCTCAAGGCAAGTGTCTCCCGGGCACAATTCCAGGAGCTCCTTCATCCCAAACGCTTGGATCACTCGCTGTGAGCCATTTTGGCAAAGTTACCTTTACCAGTGGTTGCCCACAATCTACCATCCAGGGCAGTGCTTTTGTTTTGCTGTTAAGCCATCATTATCCACCGTGCCTGAGTGTTATTTTGGGGTATATTCAGTGGAGGAAGGGAGGGGAAAGGCTCAAAGTCCCTTCCTGAAGCAACAGTGGGCGGCTGGGTGGGTTTTCTCACCTGCCCAGCACGGAGGCTGCCACGTCCCTGCTCTCTCTTGCCCTCCTCATGCAGGAGGAGGGTGTCCAGCGTGCGCGGGAGGAAGAGGAGAAGCGAAAGGAGGTGACGTCCCACTTCCAGGTGACGCTGAACGACATCCAGCTGCAGATGGAGCAGCACAACGAGAGGAACTCCAAGCTGCGCCAGGAGAACATGGAGCTGGCAGAGCGGCTCAAGAAGCTCATCGAGCAGTATGAGCTGCGGGAGGAGGTGGGTCAGGCCTGGGGGGGCTGTGCTGGTGCCCCGTGAAGCGAGTTTTTGCTGTCGGGGAGGGGGGAGAAGGGGCCTCTGGGATCTTCCCGCCTGGGCAGGAGGGACCGAGCCGAGCGTGTCAGTGAGTGGTGGCGTTCCCTCGGCAGCACATCGATAAGGTGTTCAAACACAAGGACCTGCAGCAGCAGCTGGTGGACGCCAAGCTTCAGCAGGCGCAGGAGATGCTGAAGGAGGCCGAGGAGAGACACCAGCGAGAGAAGGACTTTGTAAGTCTCAGAGCAGTTCTCTAAGGGTTGCCAAACACTTTGCTTTTTGCCTTGTTCCTCTGCGGGGGCTTGTTACTGCTGGATCCTGGAGTGCAGAGCCCAAACGGGAGCGGGGCTGGAGCCCTGCTCTGCCCTGTGTGCTCCTCCCAGCCCGCTCCTGTCTCCAGGCCCAGCGCCAGCCGTGCAGGGGCACACTGAGATGGCAGCCAGGTAATTGCTTTTGCTCTTCCCCAGCTGCTGAAGGAAGCTGTGGAATCGCAGAGGATGTGTGAGCTGATGAAGCAGCAGGAGACCCACCTCAAGCAGCAGGTGAGGTACTGGGGCCGTGTGCTCAGCCTGGTTCTTTCTTTGTTTTTTTTCTCTTCCCCCTTAAGGAGGGAACAACCCAAAGTTCCTTATTCTGGAAAACAGAGGGGCAGGATTGCTCCTGGTTTGGAGCCTGTGTCAGCATGGTGCGAGCTGAGACTGGCTTCAGGGAAAAAAAGGGGTTTTAGTTTTTACCGGCGTGGTTCCCCGTGCGGGGAGCAGTCGTGTGATTACACCTCACTGACCCAGACCCAGCCACTGCCTCCTGCCAGGGCCAGGAGATATTGGCAGAACACGCCACTCTCTGAGGATGTTTCCCCTAGGAAAGAATTTTTCCACATTCCCCAGTACCTAATATTGGCAGAGCAGCTTCATGCTGCCAGTTTGTTTGTCGGAAAGTCCAGTCACAAGATCAGTTCTTGGCTGCCGTTTCCCCTCTCCTGGGGCAGGCTGTCGGGAGGTGTCACGGTGAGCACTGAGGAGCTGTAACCCTGTCTCTCCCCGCAGCTGGCTCTCTACACAGAGAAGTTTGAAGAATTCCAGAACACCCTTTCCAAAAGCAGCGAAGTCTTCACAACATTTAAACAGGAGATGGAGAAGGTGGGTGACGCTTCTGCCCGGCAGAGCTTGCGTGGGCTGGAGGCGCTGCCTGGCTGTCTCTCCTCGATGCTTCTGTGAGCTGGAAGAGCTGCAGCTCTGTAATTTCATTTAGTTTTGCTGGGTTTAAAATCAGCCACGAGCTGGCTGCTCGTAGAAGATTGATACTGCCCTTGTGTGGTGACTTCTGCGTCCCACCTGTGTCAGAACAAACCCCGTCTCCTGGTTTGCTGTTACCTGGTCAGTGTTTCCCTCTGGTGAACCTGACTGCAGCGAGACAAGGAGATGTTTCCCAGCAGAGCAGAATCTCGCTGTCTCTGCCGGGAAAGCGGGTGCCCTTTTGAGGACAGTGAGATATAACAGACCGCAGTGCTCTGCCTGTGGCTGATTTGTTCCTTTTTTGTCACCGTGATCCTGTAGATGACTAAGAAAATCAAGAAGCTGGAGAAAGAGACCACGATGTACCGCTCTCGCTGGGAGAGCAGCAACAAGGCTCTGTTGGAAATGGCCGAGGAGGTGAGGAGGCTGGGGCAGGCAGCTGGAGCTGAGCGGTAGTGGGGGGCTATGTTTTTCCCTTCAGCTTGATTTCCTTCCCTGGACATGGTGGTAGGAGCCCTCTGTGCTAGAAGTGACGGTTAATCAGTGCAGAGGTGCGTGGAAGTCAGTCTTGGTGGCTTTTGGCCTCTGTGGGGACAAAGGAAGAAGACTTGACGATAGCATCAGGTTCTTTGAATGCCAGATGTTTGCTTGGTCACAAATATTTTCCCCTTGAGCTTCCCATTGAGGTTTCATCTCTCCCTTCCTGCCTCCCCGGTGCGGTGGTGTCTGAACTGCCTCTCTCTTTGCAGAAAACCCTTCGAGACAAAGAGTTAGAGGGGCTTCAGGTGAAAATCCAGCGCTTGGAGAAACTGTGCCGAGCCCTGCAAACGGAGCGCAACGACCTCAACAAGAAGGTGCAGGACCTGTGTGCCCACGCGCCGCGGGCGGACGCCGACCTGCTGGAGCCTTTGAAAGACCCATCCCGGGACGGCTCCGAGGCAGCGGCGGGAGCTGCTCCGGCAGAGCAGTGCCTGGCTGAGGATTGTCTGCACTCGGGAAAGGCGCCGCACAGCCCGGATCCTGCCGAGAGCTTGGGAGAACTGAGCATAGGAGCCTTGGGGCAGAGCGGGACCGAGGAGGGCACTCGGGGCGCTGACTGAGCCCCGGGCAGCGGCGGGGCGAGGGAGGGCGACGGGAATGTTTCTGCAGACTCAATGGGATGCCCCTCTCCTGGTCCGTGGACAGGTGCGAGAGGACAGCCCTCCTGGGAATTCAAGATTTCCTAGCTTAGGGGTTTTTTTGGAGGGTTTTTAAAATTTTATATATATATATATGATATATATATATATGATATATAAAATATGTGCAGGGCAACGTACACTTTAAATATGGATGTACATGAAAACTAGAATGACCCACCTCCCTGCGTGTGCGTGAATAACTAATATATGGAGACCCAAGCGATCGTCCCCTTCACTCAGAGACCTTGTCGCTGGCAGGCAGCGAGTCCCCCGAGGCCCCGGCGCGGGCACAGCCGCCTGCCTCGCGCCTCCGCCCTCGCAGCGACGCTCTCGTGGCGAGTGGAAGCAAAGGAGCTGACCTGGGGAGAACCGAAGCGTTTCCCAGCGTTGGATTCTTCCTCCTCTGCCTTGGGCAGGAGGGAGCTCCGGGACTTGCTCTTGTTTTCTTGTGAGCGAATGAGGGTGAAAGAGGCCGTTTCCCCTCCTCTGCGTGGGGTTTGTGTATCGAATGGGGACAAAAAGCAGCAGAGAAAGGGGGTGCCTGGTTCACCCCGGCCTCCCACCGGCCCTTTGCTCCTCCCAGAACCTGCCGATGTCTCAGTAGCCTTATGATTCACAGTTGCCTCTTTGCTATACGCACACGTGCACAAGTGTATTAAACAGTTAATCCAAAGGTCTAATTCCCAAGTGTTTTGCACAAGCGCGTGTGATCAGTTGTGCAAGGGCACGGGGAGGTTCCACCCCAGCTCCTCTGCCCCCGGGTCAGGACCTTGGGGCCGAGTGGGTGATCTCGAAGGCGTCCGTGGAGCTGGGCCTGCGCATGGATAAAACCTTGTGTCTGTTCCAGGACCTGCTGCTTAAGCCGAATCCCCGGGACCAGCACAAGGACCGTGCTGTGGGCTGGTCCCTCCTGCAGCATCAGAGCCCCGCGGGCCCTCCGGTGTGGCCGTGCTGGGGCTCTCCCAGCGCCCCCTTTCTCCCTTCCCTCTCCGATCGTCTCCCAAGTGCCGCTGTGTGCGGGAGGGGGTTTGTGGACAGACGTGGGGCCTGCTGGCACAGGGCGTGGGGGATTTCTCCTCAGTTTCTCAAGACTTTTCGCTATTCAGGAGACCTCTACCTGCTTGAAAACCTCCTCACTGCAGCTTCTCTTTATGACAAACTTTATTTTCAGCGTTGCCTTCGTTTTGCTCGAAGCTGAAGCAAGCTGCCAGAGCCATTCCTCACAGCGGATGCGTTCAGCTTTGGTTTCTCTTCCAGCAACGCAGCTGCTCTTGTGTCTCCGCTGTCGTGCAGTGCCCTCACGAAGGACCTGCTCCGCTGCCGGGGGAACAGCCCACGGGAGCTGCCTCTGCGTCCCCTTCCCTCCCCGGGGACCCCAGTGAGTTCAGGTCCAACAATGGGTGGCTGGCTACAGCAGAAACAGGGTCAAAAAAGTCTCCACAGAGCCGCTGGGACTCTCCCTGGAGCTGGACTTTGCTGCCCAGCGTTGCTTCCTCCAGCGCAGGGACGCGTTTTGTCTCTGGAAGGAGCCGGCAGAAGCCTCTGAGTGAATGTAGCTCTGACCTGGTGGGGCCACCCCGTTCCCAGCAGCCGGGTCGAGCGAGGGCTGCAGCCAGGCTCTGGATTTCTCTTCCTGCTCTCTCCATAGAAGAAAAACCTCTTCGCAAGTCATCAAACCCCCATTTTTTTCCTTCTTTTCCCTGTTACAGTGCAGAGAACCTCTGCGGGGGCTGTTGTATGTATCTTCATATCCAATAGAACTGCGCCCAACCTCGCTGCTGCCACCTCTCTCGTTTCTCGTTCATTAGGCCACGTTTGGGACATGGGGCCGTGGGGGGAGATTGGGCCACGGCTTCCCTGACCCCCAGGGGCTCCCCTGAACTTCCCAGCGGGGCTGGAACCCCCTGCCAGGGGGGAAGGTGGGGTGGGTCTGTCCCTGTGTCACCCCTCTGCCAGCACAGGGCATCAGCTCCCCCTGCCCTGTGGGTCTTGGTGCATCAAGACTGGCGTCTGTTTTGGCTCCAGAATGCCAGAGATCGGCTTAAAGTGCGGCCATGCTTTAAAAATAAGGAGCTGCCTTCAGTTCCGTGTTCGCTGCGGGGACGGGACTTGCCTGGTCTTGCTCCTGCGTGGAGGCTGGAGGTGGATCCTGGGATCGAGCGAGTCCGGTGACACGGGGGGGGAGACTC